ACTCCACTCTGACCTTGATAATAATGATCAACTTGTTCATCATCACTCCACTCTGACCTTGATAATAATGATCAACTTGTTCATCATCACTCCACTCTGACCTTGATAATAATGATTAACTTGTTCATCATCACTCCACTCTGACCTTGATAATAATGATCAACTTGTTCATCACTCCACTCTGACCTTGATAATAATGATCAACTTGTTCATCACTCCACTCTGACCTTGATAATAATGATAATAATGATGATCAACTTGTTCATCATCACTCCACTCTGACGTTGATAATAATGATAATAATGACAGTAATCAACTTGTTCATCATCACTCCACTCTGACCTTGATAATAATTATAATAGTAATGATGATCAACTTGTTCATCATCACTCCACTCTGACCTTGATAATAATGATAATAATAATGATAATAATAATAATAATAATAATAATGATAAGGATAATAATAATAATATAATAATAATAATAATAATAATAATAATAATAATGATATGGATAATAATAATAATACTAATAATAATAATAATAATAAGGATAAATAATAATATTAATAATAATATAATAATAATGATAATAATGATAATGATAATAATAATAATAATAATAATAATATAATAATAATAATAATGATAAGGGTAATAATAATAATAATAATAATAATAATAATAATAATATGATAAGGGTAATAATAATAATAATAATAATAATGATAATAATAATAAGGATAATAATAATAATAATAATAATAATAATAATAATAATAATGATAAGGATAATAATAATAATAATAATAATAAAAATGGTAAGGATAATAATAATAATAATAATAATAATAATAATGATAAGGATAATAATACTAATAAAAATAATAATAAGGAGAATAATAATAATGATAATAATAATAATAATAATAATAATAATAATAATAAGGATAATAATAATAATAATAATAAGGATAATAATAATAATAATAATAATAATAATAATAATGATAAGGATAATAATAAATAATAATAATAATAATAATAATATAATAATAATAATAATAATAATAAGGATAATAATAATAATAATAAGGATAATAATAATAATAATAATAATAATAATAATAATAATAATGATAAGGATAATAATAATAATAATAATAATAATAATAATAATAATAAGGATAATAATAATAATAATAATAATAATAATAATAATGATAAGGATAATAATAATAATAATAATAATAATAATAATAATAATAATGATAAGGATAATAATAATAATAATGATAATATATAATGATAAGGATAATATAATGATAATAATAATGATGATAATAATAATAATATAATAATAATAATAATAATAATAATAATAATAATAATAATAATAATATAATAATAATAATAATAATAAATAATATGATAATAATGATAAGGATAATAATAATAATAATAATAATAATAATAATAATAATAATAATAATAATAATAATAATATTTATGTGCGAGGGTGGTTTAAAGCCTATCTACCAGAGGAGGGTGATCAAGGCTGCAGGTCATCTGCACCCTTGGTCACCCTTTAATATCTAGAATATTTTAATATCTAGAATATTTTAATATCTAGAATATCTAGAATATTTTAATATCTAGAATATCTAGAATATTTTAATATCTAGAATACTTTAATATCTAAAATATCTAGAATATTTTAATATCCAGAATATCTAGAATATTTTAATATCTAGAATATCTAGAATATTTTAATATCTAGAATATTTTAATATCTAGAATACTTTAATATCTAAAATATCTAGAATATTTTAATATCTAGAATATTTTAATATCTAGAATATCTAGAATATTTTAATATCTAGAATACTTTAATATCTAAAATATCTAGAATATTTTAATATCAGAATATCTAGAATATTTTAATATCTAGAATATCTAGAATATTTTAATATCTAGAATACTTTAATATCAAAAATATCTAGAATATTTTAATATCCAGAATATCTAGAATATTTTAATATCTAGAATATTTTAATATCTAGAATACTTTAATATCTAAAATATCTAGAATATTTTAATATCTAGAATATCTAGAATATTTTAATATATAGAATATCTAGAATATTTTAATATCTAGAATATCTAGAATATTTTAATATCTAGAATATTTTAATATCTAGAATACTTTAATATCTAGAATATCTAGAATATTTTAATATCTAGAATATCTAGAATATTTTAATATATAGAATATCTAGAATATTTTAATATCTAGAATATCTAGAATATTTTAATATCTAGAATATTTTAATATCTAGAATACTTTAATATCTAGAATATCTAGAATATTTTAATATCTAGAATATCTAGAATATTTTAATATATAGAATATCTAGAATATTTTAATATCTAGAATATCTAGAATACTGTAATATCTAGAATAAGGGGACAACAGGACCATTAAAGGTGTTTATCCTCTCTTATGCAAATTTTCAACATGCTAATTATTTTTTTTGCAACAAAACAAGTGCAAAAAAGTAAAACAATTATGGTAAAGCAAAAATTTTGATAAGACAAATTTAAATAAAGTTGATCTATTGTTGTTTTAATATTTTAGTTTTATTCCTAATTACACTATTTTTCTTATCTAAGAATCTGATGAAATAAGAAATAGAAAGTAATATATATATACATATATATTTATATATATATATATATATATATATATATATATATATATATATTGCGAGGTGTATATATCTTGGTATATACACTGAGAGACATAAACCTTGAATCCCTATTAGGGTTGATGTGCAACCCTAACGACCCTCGTGTAGTAGACAGGTTTTAAACCCCATCAACCAACCTATAACATCTACTAAATTAACTCTTGCTATGTTACGCAGTAATTTTCCACATTTTTTTTTTTTTGGCAAAACCGAAAGATACAAATATTAGTATATATATTTACCCTCTACCCCCCCCCCTTCCGCCTTACCCTCTACCCCCCAGCGCCTTACGGTCCAGAGCTTAATTTTGTATAAATTCTGAAGGATGTATCTCCCTTGATGTGTATATGTTCCTGCAGCAGTGCATCTCTCAGTGTATATATACACGCTTAGAGCTGAAGTTAATGACTATATTCCTGTAAAGTACACACACACACACACACACACAAACACACACACACATACACACACACACACACACACATATAACAGGAAGGGCACTGCAATGGATCAGAGAATACCTAACAGGGAGGCAACAACGAGTCATGGTACGTAATGATGTATCACAGTGGGCACCTGTGACGAGCGGGGTCCCACAGGGGTCGGTCCTAGGACCAGTGCTATTTTTGGTATATGTGAACGACATGACGGAAGGGTTAGACTCTCGAAGTGTCCCTGTTTGCAGATGATGTGAAGTTAATGAGGAGAATTAAATCTGATGAGGACCAGGCAGGACTTCAAAGAGACCTGGACAGACTGGACACCTGGTCAGCAAATGGCTTCTCGAATTTAATCCTGCCAAATGCAAAGTTCATGAAGATAGGGAAGGGCACAGAAGACCACAGACAGAGTATAGGCTAGGTGGCCAAAGACTGCAAACCTCACTCAAGGAGAAAGATCTTGGGGTGAGTATAACACCGAGCATGTCTCCGGAAGCACACATCAATCAGATAACTGCTGCAGCATATGGGGCGCCTGGCAACACTGAGAACAGCATTCCGATACCTTAGTAAGGAATCATTCAAGACACTGTACACCGTGTATGTCAGGCCATACTGGAGTATGCAGCACCTGTTTGGAACCCGCACTTGATAAAGCACGTCAAGAAACAAAAGAAAGTACAAAGGTTTGCGACAAGGTTAGTTCCAGAGCTAAGGGGAATGTCCTATGAAGAAAGATTAAGGGAAATCGGCCTGACGACAACTGGAGGACAGGAGGGTCAGGGGAGACATGATAACGACATATAAAATACTGCGTGGAATAGACAAGGTGGACAAAGACAGGATGTTCCAGGGAGGGGACACAGAACAAGAGGCCACAATTGGAAGTTGAAGACACAAATGAGTCAGAGAGATAGTAGGAGTATTTCTTCAGTCATAGAGTTGTAAGGCAGTGGAATAGCCTAGAAAATGACGTAGTGGAGGCAGGAACCATACACAGTTTTAAGACGAGGTTTGATAAAGCTCATGGAGCGGGGAGAGAGAGGGCCTAGTAGCAACCGGTGAAGAGGGGGGGCCAGGAGCTAGGACTCGACCCCTGCAAACCACAAATAGGTGAGTACAAATAGGTGAGTACAACACACACACACACACACACACACACAACACACACAAACACACACACACATACACACACACACATACACACCACGCACACACACATACACACACACACACGCTCAAAACACACATATTCACCACCTTAAGCCACTTAGGTTTCCATCAATTATTAAACCAGCATAATATGCTTGGTCCTTCCGTCTCTCTCTCTCATGGTACCAAAACAATTCTCAAAAACACACTCTTTCTTCTTCCTCTTCTCCTCCTCCTTCCAATTTGTCTCTGATATATATATATATATATATATATATATATATATATATATAATATTTATATATATATATATTTATATATATATATATGTGTGTGTGTGTGTGTGTGTGTGTGGTGTTGTGTTGTGTGTGTGTGTGTGTGTGTGTGTGTGTGTGTGTGTGTGTGTGTGTGTGTGTGTGTGTGGTGTATACAGTATTGGAAAATTATGCATCGTCTCCAAACACTAACTACTACTACTACCACCACCACCACCACCACCACCATCACCACCACCACCACCACCACCTACAAACAACCACCTTGGCAACTATTTCATCTCCTGCGTGTTGTCAATCTCACCCACTGTCAAAAAAAATCGACCCACCTTGAAAAAAAACACCAAAGCAAGACTATCAATACTTCTGTCCACGAACCCACCTTAATTATGTCTCCTCCCGGCCATTTTATGGCTTCTTGCTCTCCAGGATCTTATGAGATGATCTAGAGAGTAAAAATTGAGGCAGAGGGGACAGGAACTTGTTGATTCAGTGGTTAAGTGGGTGACTGGAGGGAGGGAGAGAGGGGAGAGTCAGCTGTCTCACGTAAACAAAACCTTACTGGCAAGACGCCATCTTGTTTACATCCGTTGCCATGGTAACCAGCGTCCCCTCGGTACATACGTAAGTTGAAGACGGGTGTTTCAGAATCATGGACCCAATTTCGATGAAGTATATTTCACTATCGGGTCCACAGTTTTGATACACCCTGTAAATATACACAGAAGAATGAGAGGAAGCTTACAGTGATATTTTCACTTTTGTTTCCTCTCTGTTGTTGTTTGTGGTTTGCTATTGTTGACGATAGCTTTATTTTTGGGGGGGAAGGGGGGGGGGTTGACGAAGATGGGCGGGAAGAGCTTGTGACTCTACTGCCCATCACCTGATGGGCAACGTAAGGGGGAATGTACTCTCTCTCTCTCTCTCTAATTTTCTCTCTCTCTCTCTCACACACACAGTGTTAAGTAAGGTAACTGTCGTGGGCAATCATCTAATTCTGGGGGTCACCCGGTCTAATTGGCAATTAGCGGAGGCAGCAGCTGGCAGTGGTCGTGTAATGACTCTTTTCTGTGTGACAGTTTCCCTATTAACCTACACTCTTGCCCACACCACGTGCTAACACACACTCTTGCCCACACCACGTGCTAACCCACACACTCTTGCCCACACCACGTGCTAATCCACACACTCTTGCCCACACCACGTGCTACTCTTGCCCCACAACGTGCTAATCCACACACTCTTGCCCACACCACGTGCTAACACACACTCTTGCCCACACCACGTGCTAACCCACACACTCTTGCCCACACCACGTGCTAATCCACACACTCTTGCCCACACCACGTGCTAATCCACACACTCTTGCCCACACCACGTGCAATCCCTTTACTCTTCCCCACCCCACGTTGCTAATCCCCACTTTTTCCCCAAAACCCCCGGCTAACACGAAATCTTCCCCCCAAAAGTGAAACCCCAACACACTCTTCCCCACACCACGTGTATCCACATACTCTTGCCCACACCACGTAAATAACCCACACACTCTTACCACGCCCCGTGCAAATTCCAAAATTCTTCCCCACCCCCAAGTGCAAACCCCAAATATCTTGCCCCTCCCCGTGTTTTAAACCACTTACTTTTCCCCCAAAACCACGTGCAAAACCCACCTCTTTGCCTCCCACCGTGCAAAGCCACACTCTTTTGCCTACACCCGTGTTTAAGCCACACTTTTTTGCCTACACCACGTGTAACCCCACACTTTCTTGCCTAAAACCACGTGCTAAGCCACACTTTTTGCCTACAACACGTGCTAACCCACACTTTTTTCCCTTAACCCACGTTGCAAACCCACATCTCTTGCCTAACCCGTCAACCCACAATTTTGGCCTAAACCACGTGCTAAGCCCACTTTCTTCCCTACCCCCAAAGTGCAAAACCCCAAAATTTTCTTCCCTTTAACCCCAAACCCCCCAAAGCCCACTCTCTTGCCTAGGGACGGGGCAAACCCAAACATTTCTTGCCTACACCACGGGCTAGCCACCCTCTCTTGAATACACCACTTTGCTAAGCCACACTCTCTTCCCTTTCACCACTGTAAGCCCATTTTCTTCCCTACCCCCACGTGTTTAAAGCACCTCTCTTGCCTAAAACCACGTGCAAAGCCCCACTCTCTTGCCTACACCCCCTTTGTTTAAGGGCCCACTTTCTTGCCTTACAAACGTGAAAAGGCCAACTCTCTTGCATACACCACGTGCTAGAAAACCCCTTTTTTGGGCCTAAAACACGTGCTAAGCCAACTCTCTTGCACGCCCGTCCTAAGCCTCCTCATTGGGCCTACCCCACGGCAAACCCCAACTTTCTTGCCTACACCACGTGCTAAGCCACACTTTTTGCCACCCCAACGTGCTAACCCAAAACCTTTCTTGCCTACACCACGTGCAAAGCCACACTTCTTCCCTTTCGCCACGTGCTAAGCCAACTTTTTCCCTTTCACCACGTGCTAAAAAACCCTCTCTTGCCTACACCACTTTTGTAACCCAAACACTTTTTTAATCAAACGCCAGTGCAAAGCCACCATTTTTGGCCTACCCACGTGCAAAGGGCCCCACTCTCTTCCCTAAAACCATTTCAAAAGGCCACACTCTCTTGCCTACCCCCGTGCTAAGCCAACTTTTTTGGGCCTACACCCGTGTTTAAGCCCCCACTCTCTTCCCTACATAAAGTGCTAAGCCACACTTTTTTGGGCCTATCCCACGTGCTAACCCAAACCCCTTTTTCCCAACCCCTTTGCAAAGCCACACCTTTCCCCTTTAAACCAGTGTTTAAGCCCACATCCCCTTCCCTTTACACCCCCGGGGCAAAGAACACTCTCTTCCCTTAAACCCCACGTGAAAGCCCATTTTCTTGCCTACACCACGGGGCTAAGCCACACTCTCTTGCCTACACCACGTGCCAAAGCCAAATTTCTCTTGCCAAACCCCAAACGTGTTTGCTACACACTTTCCCCTCCCCCCACGTGCAAAAGCCCCAAAATCTTTGCCTACCCACGTCCCTAAGCCACACTCTTTCCCTTACACCAGGGGGCAAAGCCACACTTTCTTCCCTACACCACGTGATAAGCCAAATCCTTCCCTACACCCGTGCTAAGCCCCCCCTCTCTTCCCCTTAACCCACGTGCTAAGCCACACTTTTTTTCCCTTTACCCCCAAACGTGCTAAGCCCACCTCTTGTTTTACCCCCACTTTGCTAAGCCACACTCTTTTCCCTTTACGCCCGTGCAAAGCCCCCACTTTTTTGGCCTAACCACTTGGAAAGCCACATTTCTCTTGCCCTACAAAACTGCAAAGCCACACTCTCTTCCCTTTCCACCACGTGCAAAAGCCACCTCTTTTGGGCCTAAAACACTTTGTTAAGCCAAACTTTTTTCCCTTTACACCACGTGCAAAGTCACACTCTCTTCCCTTTACCCCCCCCCCCCCCCCCCCCCCTGCAAAACCCACACTCTTTTGCCTACGCCAGTGCAAAGGGCCACATTTTCTTGCCTACCCAGTGCAACCCACATCTTTTGGGCCTTTACACCCGGGGTAAACCACACTCTCTTGCCCTACACCTTTGTGCAAACCCAACACTTTTTCCCTACACCAGTGCTAACCCCACACTCTTTGCCTAAACCACGTGATAACCCAAAAACTTTTTTTTTTTTCCCCCTTACACCGTGCTAAGCCCACTCTATTGCCTACACCACTTTGCTAAGCCACACTTTTTTGGCCTACACACGTGCTAAAAGCCACTTTTTTGGGCCTCACCACGTGCTAAGCCACACTTATTCCCTACACCCCCGTGCTAAGCCCCACTCTCTTCCCTACCCCCAGTGCTAACCCACACTTATTGCCTCACCACTTTGCTAACCCAACACTTATTGCCTACACCACGTCCCAACCCACACTTTCTTCCCCTACCACGTGCTAAGCCAAAATTTCTTCCCTTTCACCACGTGTGGGCCCCAAAATCTCTTGCCTAAAAACCACGTGCTAAGCCAAAACTTTCTTCCCAAACCACGTCCCTGGGCCCCACACTCTCTTCCCTACCCAGTGCAAAGCTCCCACTCTCTTCCCTACCCCACGTGCAAAGCCCACTCTCTTGCCTACCCCAAAGTCCCTAAGCCCACTCTCTTGTTACACCCGTGCAAAGCCACATTTCTCTTGCCTACACCACGTGCTAAGCCAAAATCCCCTTGCCTAAAAAACGTGCTAAGCCACACTTCTTGCCACCCCACGTGCTGGGCCCCAAAATCCTTCCCTTACCCCAACGTCCCTTGCTACACCTTTTGCCTAACCACGTGCTAACCCAACTCCCCTTGCTACACCAGTGCTAAGCCCCACTCTCTTGTCTACCCCCAAGTGCTAAGCCCCTCCCCTTGCCTTAACCCCAAAAGGCTAACCCAAAACTCTTTGCCTACACCCGGGGCTAAGCCCAAAACTTTTGCCTACCCAGTGCTAACCCCACTCTCTTCCCTCCCCACGGGGCTAAGCAACACTCTCTTCCCTTCAACCACGTGCTAAGCCACACTCTCTTGCCTTACCCCACGTCCCAAAGCACCTTCTCTTGCCTACCCCAGTGTTAAAGCCCACTCTCTTCCCTAAAATTCACGTGCTAGGCCACACTCTCTTCCCTACACAGTGTTAACCCACACTCCTTGCCTACCCACGTGCTAAAGCCACACTCTCTTGCCTACACCCGTCCCTAACCCAAACACTCTCTTGCCTCCCCACGTGCAAACCCACACCCCCGGCCTACCCCAAAGTGCTAAGCCACACTTACCCACCCCCTACTTTTTAAACCACACACACACCCATTCTGATTTTTACTCAAAATTATTACCGATTTTTTCCACGTTATTCCCCCACTTTATCAAAAAAATTTTAAACCTCTTTATCCCCCCGTTCAAAGGATCTTTGCCTCCAAGTAAAACCTTCTGCGGAGGAAAAAAGGGAAGCATCATTTGGGGCGTCTTCCTCCAGCTGGGGTCTCTTACTTGTTCTCTCCGGGACAATACCATCTACCTAAAAACCGGGAATGACCTTTACCATTTCCCCTTAGTCCCTGTGGGTTTCGGGTTGGGGGGCATTTTTTGGGCGCCAAAAATTAGTCTTGGGTTTCCCTGGTCTTTTGGTCTTTCAATAGTTCACATCTTTATCCTGGTTTTGTGTGTAGAAAGTGTTTTTTTTCGGGCCCACCTTGGGTTTTTAAATCGTGTGTTTTCCGCCGAGTAATATTTCCGCGTCCTGGTTCAGATCTACACGGAAACCTGTCGAGATCCTTTTCCCCTCCGCAAAAAAAAAAAAAAAAAAAATTGCGGTGGGGAAACCGGGGAATAGCGATGGAGTTTAATGGGAAAATTTTTTTTATGGGTCTTATCTATTGGGTAGGGGTGCCCGGTATGGGTGGGGGGAAAAGGGCCCAAGGTGGTTTTTGGGAAAACCCTTTTAAAAAAAAAGGGGAAATAGGGCCTGTAATGCCCAATTTTTA